CCCTTGAATCCATTCAGATACCCCTCTCAAATAATTCACATTCTCTAAATGCTGCGTTTCTTTGCCTGATTGGAGATGAACGGTATAGGCTCACAGTCATGGAAAGGTTGGAAGAGGGTGGCATTGCAGGTCCAGCGCTCTCGGGGCACCTGCTACTGAACAGAGATTAATCATTTTTTTTTTGTAATTGTAGATGGACAGAATGCCTTTATTGTATTTATTTTTGTGTGGTGCTTAGAATCGAACCCAGTGCCTCACGTATGCTAGGCAAGTGCTCCACCACTGAGCTACATCCCAGAGATTAATCATTCTTAATCTAGACTTCTGGCGATGTGCCTCTGTACATTTTTACTTCCACGTGTCAAGGCTTTCCTGGTTGACTTTTTCCGACTCCCTCCCTTCCCCTCTCAGCACCAGGAATGCTGTTCTTTTTATATTTTGCTTTGTGTCTGGCTTATCCAGTAGACCTAAATCCCCACCTTATTGTGTAGACAATTGGTGAACTTCTCTATAAAGGAACAGACAGTGAATTTTTTAGGCTGTAGGCTGCCATAGGCAATATTTAAAAGAATGGATGTGACAGTGATCCTACAAAACATCATTGACACTGAAATTTGAATTTAATATAATTTTCACGTGTCATGAAATATTGTTTTTAGTTTTTTTCAACCATTTAAAAATGTGCGAATTATTTTTAGCTTGGGCTGTTAGCTAGCAGTAGTCTGCCAACACTTAGTAGAGAAACAGAACAGTGTTCACCTAGAATTCAGGGAGACAGGTATTGGCCAAAATTACCAATAAAATAGTTTATGAAAAAAAGTAAATCAAAATAATTTGTGGCCCACTTTTCTGGACCTGGGAGAGAATAGGTTTATTTCTAGGTTCTCATTTGATCTCTCAACTTTGACATGTAATTCATACTGCTCAGTGAGAATTCTGTCAAAGTAGGTCTCAGAGTCTGTGGTAAGTTTCCCTTCCCAGCTCTTTATAGTTCTGAGAGATAGTGGAAGAAATCCCTATCAGCCTTTTGCAGTGAGGTCTCAGGCAGGTTTGGGCCTTTTTTCTGATTTCTAGTTTTCATAAGTAACTTTTACTTCTTTAATTATATAATATTTTTCAAGTTAAATTTCATTCATTATTACTATTCTAGGTACTAGAAGAGAGAAGGTACCTAGGTCAGTTCTTTTACATTCTGGAGTCCAGCACATACAGACTAAGCAAACGAGTGTGTGTGTGTGTGTAAGTGCTTTGAAGCTATAATGCACTCTACACATGTTGTATTTAAGAAAAAGTATGGTTGATAGTTTTCTTTTTCTTAGAAAATGAGCAGTTATCTTTAAAGAATACTTTGTACTTCCCTGAACAGCTGTGTTTGGCCAGAACCTTGCACAATGAAGGTTATTAGAATGAATTTTATTCAGGTAATACTTATCAAGTGTCTATTATGTATTTCTTTTTTTAAATATTTTTAGGTGTAGATGGACACAACACAATGCCTTTATTTTTATGTGGTGCTGAGGATGGAACCCGGGTCCTGCCCGTGCCAGGCGAGAGCTCTACTGCTGAGCCACAGTCTCAGTCCCTCTATTGTGTATTTCTTGGTGCTGTTTTGGTTCTCAAGTGATCTTCTCCATGACCACTTTTTTGTTAGTTCCCAAAAGGCCATAATTATTATTCCAAGCATCCTTGATGACCTCTAATATGAGTATTACTAGAATCCTCTTAGTTTCTGAGGTTTCCTAGGACCCTAGTATAATGGCTGGTGCTCAGAATGAATATAATACTTCAAGTATAGTTTTCAATCAGTGTCCAATCAGATGGGATCATTAATTTTCAACTTCTGGATATAGATCTTATTTTGATACGGCTTAAGACTGTTCTTCAAGAATAGCCCTCTATTCTATAGGCATCAAACAGGCAACTTCATTGTAAAAATCAATCAGACTAAGATGATTATTGGTGAAGATGATAGCTTCGAACTTCCTATCAAAGTTATGGTGAATTTAAAAAGAGGAGGTTTTGGGGTGAACACAATTCAGTTTTCAATTAAATTACTTACGGTTCTTATAAAAATGTACCAGTTAATCATTGATAACATGTTTCTGAAACTTGGCAAAGATCTGGGTGAAAGACCAAAAATCGACAGAGGAAGATGCATTTTGAATTGGGCTAGTCTCATTTAAAGAAACTATGGGAGAGAAGAAAAAAAGAGTATGAATATTCTAATCTCATAAAAATACATAATTTTATAAAATTGTAGGTACATATTTCTTGTACTCAGAATTTCCACTTACTATTATTTTATAAGAAAAACTCAGCTAAGTGCTGGAGCTATGGATTCCAATTGTTATTGTGTCACTATATGACATATGATCTCTTGTGATTTCAATATCAAGGGTTTCACCTTCTCCATCTATACAGAGTAAAAGACCAGACATTGCTTACAGGCCTATACCTATTTATACATATCACCATAGTGCACATATTTGCTATATTAAATGGTGATAGTGTTCTAAAGGGCTAATAATTAGAGTGATGTAGAGCCACTGGGAGAAAAACAAATAGAGAATGAAGAATACATTTACATGCACATGCAAATGAATTGACAAAAAAGAAAGAAACATACCAGTCTTAAAGGTTTAAAGTCTGAATAAAAGCTTAGTAAGAAAGAGTAGTACTTAAATTTTCAGGAAACATAACTTCAGGATTAGAATGTATCAGAAACCTGTCTTAAGAAATGTTGAAAGAAAGGGCTGGGGCAGAGCTCAGTGGTGGAATGCTTACCTAGCATGTACAAGAACAGAACCGAACAGAAAGAGGTGATGGAGTAGAAGTGAATACCTTATAAAATAAGTTATGATATATAATAGTTAATATAGTAGGTGTTACATTTAGTTGCTCTCTACTTAATACACTTGCCAGATTAAAAACTCCATCCCCTGTATATGTTGCTGATGACCTTGGCATAAGATCTTTTGTAATTAAGTTTGCTTTCTAGTACATATAACACTTAATTTAGTTTGTGTGCTTAATAAGACTCAGTTGTTTGCTCCCTAAATGTTTATCCCAGTTATGTAGTTATAACCCTTATTACATAATCAAATATTATGTAACTGACAAAATGAGTGCTGATGTCATTTCTTTATGAACTACCTTGAATGGATGGGAAGACTTGGTAATAACACTGTTGTTTCAGTGAGCATTCGTAGTGCCAGATCTTGGTTTCTAAGTAACTACTTATTTAAAACATCTTATTAAAACATTTCTCCAGAAATGTTTCCCTCCATATTGGGAGCACCGAAAGTGTGGGGTGAACTTGCAGTATCTTGTGTCAGAAGGCAGTTAAGTGCACAAAGAGTAGACAGGGAATGTCAAAAGGAAATAAAAACTACTTGGGAATTCCAACTAGCCAAATTTGGGACAGTTTAAACATCAGAAGCAATGACTATAATTGACTAACACATAGTGTCATTTGCCATTTTGCCATAACTGCAGAATAGGACACCAAATGCCTTACTGGTAATTAAACCCATTAAAATTATATATATATATATATATAATATATATATATTATATATTGTATATATATGTATATATATAATATATATATATATATGCCCTTACCTAGTACATGTGAGGCACTAGGTTCGATCCTCAGCACCACATAAAAATAAATAAAAGTATTGTGTTCATCCACCTATCTATCTATCTATGTTGTAGTTGAACACAATATTTTTATGTAAAATATGTTGTAGATGAACACAATACTTTTATTTATTTATTTTTATGTGGTGCTGAGGATCGAACCCAGTGCCTCACATCCACTGAGCCACAACTCCAGCCCATAATTAAATTTGTAAGCTAGTAATTAAAGGAAAAGAATTATGATCCCACCTCTAGTGCATTCCTAGTTGATAAGGGAAAGTTCTCTTTTATAGAAGTGTACCATTTTTCACAAATATAGAAATAATAATAACAACCATTTTGAAAACCTTGTGAAAAAATGGACTCAGGCAAGGATTATTGTTGGGTGCTAATATGTGAAAAGTTGTTAGCAAACAGGATATCCATAGTGTCGGTCCACAGATTGTTAATTGCTACAGGAAAACTGCCTTTACACGGAAGATCTGGTGTTTATCACCTCAATAGAATGATTAAATGTCACATTGACAGTTAATCTGATAATTGAGACTTTTGATTTTACAAAATGAAATACATCTGTGAAGTGTGTGAAGCATTAGTTAAAAGTGTTTTAACTTGAATCCAATCCAGCCTTTGGCTTTAACTTCTAATTTACAGAAAACAACATACCACATGCAACAAGCAGTTAAATCCTGAATACATGTTTTGTATTAACTGACAATTAAGTTGCCCTTTTTCTTTTTGGTGCTGAGGATTGAACTCAGGGGCACTCAACCTCTGAGCTACATCCCCAGCCCTATTTTGTATTTTATTTAGAGACAGGGTTTCCCTGAGTTGCTGAGGCTGGCTTTGAACTCATGATTCTCCTGCCTCAGTTTCCTGAGCTGCTGGGATTACAGGTGTGCAACACTATGTAGAACTTGACTTGCTCTCTTATAAGAGGAAAAACTAAAGGAATGTTCTAGATAAATGAAACAGATATAAAAATCAAATAAATGTGTGAGAAATATGTGTGAAAATTGACTAGTTCAATGGGAGATATTTGACATGGACTAGGTATTTAGGATTATGGAAGTTCATCTTTTTTGAGCTATTGTGATTATGTAAATGACCTTTTTAATGAGATGCATTTAGAGACAAAATGTAAGTTAATTTATAATTGTTTAGTTAAAAAACCATGGTAAGATGTTAATTTTAAAATCTAGATGGGTATAGTTCATTTTGTTATTTTAAAAATTTCTGTGTATTTGACTGTTTTCCTAATAAAAAGTCATGGAAAATAAGATTATTTGCTAAAAGTCTGTTGAATTACTCATAAGTCAGACAATTCTAAAAGTGGGAAAAAACACACAAAGATCTAGGATTCTGCACTATTATTCTATTATTTTATAAGGGCATCAGTTGCCTCTGTGTATCAGTGGAAGACTCTAAATGCATTATTTACATAAACCACACAAAGGCAGGAAATACAAAGTAATGCAGAGAAAGGCGCTGTGGGTTGTTAATACTCCACACATTCATTCCAATGGAAAGAAGCGTTGTGTAAGGGATGAAGTAACATCAAAAAGTATCTTAAATACAACTTATTTTTTCATGATAACTATGGAATAAGCATAATTTGAGCATTTTGCAACCTACGCTTTGTGAAGGATGATACCATGAAATCAAGGATAATTAATGTCAGGAAAAAGGAAAGCAACAATTTTTTTTTTTCAAGAAAACATTCAACAACATAGCCTTGAAGATGCTAGCACCCCAGTCTCTCCTTCAGTACCTGTTTGCAGGACAAATAGCAATATTTAAGTGAAGCTGTATGGTCAATATATGCTTAAATTTATATTTATGGTACCAGAATTTATATCAGTTTCCCCTTATTTAGCTCATAAAAATCTTCTTCTGCAAAGATGTCCTATATTTCTGATTTTCCATTTTTATGCAATCCCTATTACCCAGTAAATAATATTTGTTAAACACTTGTTTGATGCATGCACAAAAGTTATTTCCAGTTCTACCAATTTCATTCCGTGTCAGTTGATTCTACCTTGTTACTCTAATTTATATAAGTTATTCATTAATTTAACCAACTTATATTGATCATGTGCTATATGCAAGGCACTAGAGGAACAAATAGAGCAAGATGAAATCTCAGCTACGGATATTAAGTATATAGTATTTTTACCTATTTCTGCCAGTTTTCCTTTTGTTAGAACCCATAAACCTGGTTATCATTGTTTAGTGATTACTGTGTTAGTTTCTGCATCAGTGCTTTTTCCAATGAATTTTGTCCTGATGTTAAGAATAACCTCTACTTCCACAAAGGAAGGATTCCAGTTATTCCTTTAAAATCAGACATTTCTTATAAATGGGCTAAGTTTTGCTTTTTTATTTCACTCTACTTCCTTAAATAAAGGAAGTCCAATTATATTATCATGTTATATGATACCTATGTATTCTCTTTCCTCACTGTTTTTACATTTCCCCAACTTACTAAACACAAGTCTGTTTTCTGCTTATTTTCCTCACTTTATTTACAAAACTTTTTTAATTACTTCCTTAACTTGGGCTAAGGTGTAGCATTTGACAACCCATTTTAGCAGATTTCTTGTGCTCATTCCATGGCAAATTAGTTAAGATTATGTCCTTTCTCAGTATTCTAATAAGCTTTGTTGTTTAAATCAGCTGTGATTTTCAGCACTGTACAAGCCTTGAAAGGATCCAATCAGGAAGTCTGGGGCCAGGGCACAGTTGGTACTCAAATGTGTTTCAAAGGAATAAATGGATTTCTCACAGCAGAAGAGCCACAGGGGAAAAGTGAATTAGGATTCAGATGAAAAAAATGTGAACTGTATGCCTAATTTTTCCTTCAGGATAACCCTGGATGTTAAAATCTGGTGAAATTAAGGCTAACCTGTTTTAAAGATTAATCTTGGGGGTCTTTAATATTTGCCTATTTAAATCTGTACACATCTAAGGGTTATATACACTAGTTTCTCTGTCCTAACATATCATCTTTCCTTAAGCTTCACTTCCTTTAATATTTCAGATTTGAGGGAAAGTGCAGTTAAATGTTGGTGGCACAGAAATCTTTGAGATACTTCCAACAATTTTTTTTCTCCAAATCTATTGGATCCATATTACAATTATGGCATAACTGGAAAAGGGAAAGTAACCTTTAATTATTTTAAGGCTTCCAAGCTGGGAAGAAATGAAGGCCCCAAAGATTTTTTTTTCTTTTCTATAATTCCAAGATTACTCTCCAGTGTGAAATCTACTTGATGGATACTTTACCAAGCAACATTCATAAGGCCTCAAAAAGTCTATGAAATTACATTGAGTTGATGAGTTACAAGTTTTTGAATATAATTTCATATTTTTCTCTGAAATGAATTAAGTTGATATCAAATAAAGGCTAAGTCAATGAAGTTTCCTTTTTAAATTTCATATCAAATTTAAATGAGTTATATCCATATTACTAATATGGATACTTCTGCTGAGTATCTAACATATTGCACTTCTTCAGATTTATTTTTAATGTTTTAACACACAGAGCACACAAAGTAAAATTTAAGGATGAAGTTGAAAAACCTAAATGAAGTCTCCCATATCCATTAATTACGATGTTTGACACCCGTATGAACACGTTGATGCTGAATAAGGTTTGTACTCTGAGTGAAAGATTTACCACATATACGACATGCATAGGGCTTCTCTCCTGTGTGAATTCTCTGGTGTTGAATAAGGCATGTTCTCTGGCTAAAATCTTTGTCACATTCATTACATTTATAGGGTCTCTCCCCAGTATGAGTTCTCTGATGTTGATTAAGTGATGAAGAATAAATAAAAGCTTTCCCACATTCATTACATTTATAGGGTTTCTCTCCAGTATGAATTCTTTGATGTTGGGTAAGATTTGCACCCTGTCTATAAGCTTTCCCACATATATTGCATTTAAAGGGTTTTTCTCCATTATGAATCCTTTGATGTTGAGTAAGATGCACACTCTGGCTGAATGCCTTCCCACACACACTACATTTATATGGTTTCTCTCCAGTATGTGTTCTATGATGCTGAGTGAGGTTTGCACTCTGGCTGAAGGCTTTCCCACATATATTACATATATAGGACTTTTCTCCAGTGTGAGTAGTTTGATGTTGAATAAGAGTTGAGGAATGAGCAAAGGCCTTTCCACATTCATTACATTTATAACACTTCTCTCCAGAATGAATTCTCTGATGTCGAATAAGGTAAGTGCTCTGACTAAAAACTTTCCAACACTCATTGCATTTATATGGTTTTTTCCCAGTATGTATTTTTTGATGCTGCAGAAGGTGTGTACTCTGACTGAAAGTTTTCCCACATTCGTTGCATATGTAAGGTTTTTCTCCAGTATGAACTCTTTGATGATTAATCAGTGATGAACTATGACTGAAGGTTTTACCACATTCCAAACATTTATATGGTTTCTCTCCAGTATGTGTCCTTTGATGTATAGTAAGGTGTGCACGCTGGCTAAAGTCTTTTCCACAATCATCACACTTATAGGGTTTCTCTCCAGTGTGAATTCTCTGATGTATGGTGAGGTGTGCACGCTGGCTGAAGGCTTTACCACACTGGTGACATTCATATGGTTTTTCTCCAGTATGCATTCTTTGATGTGCAATTAGGGATGAGATATGCCTAAACTCTTTCCCACATTCTTCACATTCATAAGATTTCTCTTTGGCATGGGTACTTTGGTGTTTTAGGAGGGATGGGTATTTCCTAAATTTTTTCCCACACACATTACATTTATAAGGCTTCTCTCCAGGAAGTATTTTCCCATGTACAATACCATATGAGACATTACTGAAGTTTGCCTTGCTTTCATTATAGATAGAAGTTTTATTATCTGATTGTGTATCAAACTGTACAATTAGGTTTGAATGCTTTTCAAAATCATTTCTATATATATCATATTTACTAAGATATTCTTCTGTAGGATCATGTTCTTGTGAAAAATCAGACTTCAAACTGAAATCATATTCATTAGTGGGAAATTTCTTGAAGACGTTTGTAGTTTGTCTCTCTAATCTGTCATCATAGTCATATGGTTCTTCCAATTTGATGGTCTGGGTTCCGTCCTGTTTGAGTTTAGGAATATCTTTTACTGGAGTACATGTTTGGGCTTCAGTTCCCCATTCTGAAAATGAAAAAACAATATAAAAAGTCTTCCTCTATTTGGCAAAAAAACATAATAATAACATGAATAAAGTGCCTAAAGACTATAGCTCTGACAATCTCAGTAATATGATCCTTAAAGTTTAGGAAAGGAGAATAAAAGGGCAACAAAACAAGAGTGTAAATTATTCAAAAACAGAGAGGTTCCTCACTCTTCAGCCTGGGTACTGAGTAAATAAAATAGACAAAGCTAAGACAGTGAAAACAGAAGATAGGGCTATTTGGGATAAATTACTTCATGAAGTAATTTGCATATGTAAGTTTTTTCTCCAGTATGAACTCTTTGAGGAATGTAGCTCTGCAGTAGAGCACTTGCCTGACTCTTTATATGATGTTTTCATAAAGTAAGCATGCTGACTCTTGTCACTCCCTCTTTCAATCTACTCTGCATAAACCCATATAACATTCCTAAAGCAATCTCATGGAATTCTCTCTCTCTCTCTCTCTCTCTCTCTCTCTCTCTCTCTCTCTCTCTCTGTGTTTAGGGGGTACTGGGGATTAAACCCAGGGGTGCTTTACCACTGAGCTACATCCCCAGTCTATATATTATTTTTTATTTTGAGACAGGGTCTTGCTAAGTTGCTTAGGATCTTACTAAATTGCTGAGGCTGTATTGAACATGGATCCTCTTCCCTCAGCCTCCTGAGCCACTGAACAGTATCATAGCTAGTATACAGACATATTAAATGAAGTTGAAAAATATCTCTAGATCTCTAGTGTATCTTCAGTAGCCTGAAGCAATTGTTCTCAAAGTACAATCTCAAGAGTAGCATAATAAGCATTACTATTTACTATTCCCTGGAAATGCATTAAAATTATTGGGTCCTATCCAGACATACTGAATTAGAAACTATGGTGGTGGGGCTGAACAATTTGTTTTAGCAAGTACCAAAAGTAGTTTTGCTGCATGCAAAGTTTGAGGGCCACAGGCTTAAAAGTGTTAAAGGAGGAAAAAAAATGACTAGGAATGTAGCTCTGCAGTAGAGCACTTGCCTGGCTCTTGATTCTATTCTCAGTACCAGGAAACAAAATAAAACATAACAGAGAAAGAAAAAGCTCAAAATACTTCCACTTGGCATTCAATCCCCTTATAGTAGAAAAATAGTCCTCTTCTACTATATCCCTTAAACTTCATATTCTGCTTAACTTAGTTTGAAGTTAACCACTATTCCCACAGGGCCTATAGGTTCTGTGCTAATCCCAAACTCTAGGCCCCTTTTTATGATACCTTCTCTACCTATTACAAAAGACGGTTATAGTTCAGCTCCTTCTTAGAACCTAAAATATAGTGTAGTTTGATTCATATATGAAATTGTCTTTTTTATGGGTCAAAATGGCTGACTGTCAATAATCTTGGCATGGTTCAACCTAATATAATGTTGAGCTAATGATGAAATTTGGCCTTATATGATTATCTCACAATTTTGTGTGCTTCTTATATTTTTAACTTATACATAAACTCTGGGAATAGCTTCTGTTTCTTTTATATTTCCTTCAGAAAATTGGCTAAAGACTTTGGATATGGTAGCTACTCAATTTTTTTTATACCTTTATTTCATTTATTTATTTTTATGTGGTGCTGAAGATCGAACCCAGGGTCCTGCACTTGCAAGGTGAGCGTTCTACCCCTGAGGCACAACCCCAGCCTTACCACTCAATTTTTAACTGATAAAATAAATAAGAATAATTTGTAAAAAGGTAAACTCAAATCAAAGTGTGCACACACACACAAAACCAAATACACAAAAAACTGGCTATGAGGCAGTCAAGTATGTATTTGTTGATGCCTATTATGTTTCCAGTATGATAATTTGAAACAAATTTCATGATATAATCTCTTGAAATGGTGGGAAGCATATAACTTGTAAGTATTAAGAATTATATACTGGGGATTGGGGATGTGGCTCAAGCGGTAGTGCACTCGCCTGGCATGCATGCGGCCCAGGTTTGATCCTCAGCACCACATACAAAAACAAAGATGTTGTGTCCGCCGAAAACTAAAAAATAAATATTAAAATTCTCTCTCTCTCTCTTAAAAAAGAATTATATACTGTAATATCAAATGTATAATTTAAAATATAGGAAAAATAGTCCTAGATAGTTCAGAAACTTTTAAAGATGCAGTTCAAAGTACAATAACTTTGTCAACATATTCCTTCAGTAGGAGAGTATGTAGATATTGAAAATATTAGCTACATAAATCAGTAAGAGACTTGTTAGAGGGTAGTAGAATATTGATAACTGATAAAATAGATCTAGTTACATTTATATGAAAAGGTGTTCATGACACATGGTAAGTGAAGAATGGCAGGTATGTAGCAGCAGGTAGAGCAAGATCCCATCTATGTAAAGATATGCTCTATGATTATAGACAGGCACAGAAAGACACTGATAATCTAAGGAGAGAAGGTACTGGTACCCAGGGGAGGGAGACATATGAAATTTGCTTCCTTGTAGTGCTTGAATTTACAAACTACTTTTACTCAAATACATAAATCATAATTGACACTAGAAAATGTTTAGGAGTAATGTTAAATGAAAAAAGCAGAATCATAGCTAGTATACAGATATATTAGATGAAGTTGAAAAATAATAGATTATAGGTTTTATTTTCTAATTTTCAATTAATTTGCTATATTTTTTTCTGCTATGAAGTACTAGAAATGTTGTTATACTATTATAGAAGGAAAAAAAAATTAAAACCAACTTTCTCAAACTAGGATTCGTTACCCTGCCCCAAAATAACAAAATGAGAATGTAAGTAAACACATACAAAAAAAGGATGGGCTAGTACCATAAGCTCAGTTTAACTTCTATCTAATCAGAATCAGTCTATGGCAATCTGCATATATCTGAAAAGGAAGTATTACAGTTATTTTTTTTAAATACTGCTGGGGATCAACCCAGGAGTTCATACATGCTAGGCAAGTACCACTACCTACCATTGAGCCACATCCCAACCCTATAGTATAATTAATAAGCTTAAGCAACAAGTTTGTATGATGACCATGAACACAATGCTACTATAATAATATATTTTTAAAAAAATCAGGTTATTAGAAATTAAACAAACTGAGATCAGTAAGCAGGGCTTAAAAATGTGTATATACTTAATCAAAATGGTTAGTAAAAAGTGGTATCTGTTGGCTAATATTAGACCAAACAGTGGTGTAGTATTTCTAATATAGAAGATCAACCCTGACTTAGGTAATCAAGAAAAGCCTCAGGGAGAAGTATGATTTGAGCTCAGCCTGAAAGAATGGCTAGGTCCTGTGTAAACATAAAGAACTATGAAAGTTCTAAGACTTAATGGCTACTAAAGACCAAAAGTAGTATTCTATTTATGAATTACCAAAGTTTTCATTTCCTGAAGCAAAACTGGTTAGGTATTGTAACTAAATGTTCTATTTATTATATATCTCTGATCTGGAAAGACAGTAAAATCCTCAGAGGCCAAAAATCAAATAAAAGCAGGAAGGCAGCTGGGTACTGGTGGCTCATGCCTGTAAACTCAGCAGCTAGGGAGGTTGAGTCAGGAGGATCAAAAGTTCAGAGACAGCTTCAGCAACTTAGCAAGACCCTTCTCAAAATAAAAAAGAGGGCTAAGGGTGTGGCTCATTGATTAAGTGCCCCTGGGTTCAATCCCCAGTACAAACAAACAAACAAAAAACTCCAAACAAAAACAATAAAACAAAAACAAAAAGCAGGAAGGAAGGCAGTTACAGCTGAAGTTGGTTGCTTGAAATGGCTCCTTCATCCCATTGATAACCTTGAGCTTCCATTTTGAGGGTGCCAAGGGCTAATGTGACAGAAGCCCAACCAGAAGTGAAGCTGGGAGGAGTCCCTTGCAAAGAGGATTAAATATGATGCAAGAATAACAAAAGCCCAAAAAACTAACCTCCAGGAAAGAAATAACTTGCCTTTCTTAGTCTTGGTGTTTGTTCACTTCGAGGAGCAAAATCTCTTCTTAAAATGCATAACTACAAACTGCCCCTTCTTGGGCATTGATAGCTCTAATTTGTGCTCTCTGAAAGGTCTAAAAAACTTCTCATGCTGTGAAGTTAGGTCTGAGTACTCCCAGATTAGCAGCATCTCCTCAGATACTATACTAATTCTAGTCCAGGGGAGGCTCATTTCCATTATAGTTCATGTGTTTTCTCACTGTTTACAGTGTGCTGAATTGATTCTCCAATGAATTTAGTGTGCTACAGGTATATTTTGTACCATTCTGCCAATTAAAGGCCATAAATTATGAAAAAGAATTAGTTTTTCAAATAGAATGAACCTTGAAATACCTAATTACCATAAGTTATTATTTTTTTTAAACAGTGAAGCAATTTACTCTAAGGCAATATGGACTATTCTGTTATTATTGTTTAAATATTACAATTAATATTGTATTCTAGCATCAATATTGGTAGACATATAAGTCTAAATAAGAAAAAAAAAGAATAGGAAAGTAAGATGTGAAAGAATGTATTAATGATTTATTTTTTTTTGCAAAGAGAAAATAGGACAGATAAACCAGAAACAAATGAATATGGTTATCTATAGGTAGTGGATGGGAAAAGTGTAGAAGGTATAGGAATGCATATCTTTTATATAGTTTTGGCTTCTGAACAATGTTAATGTTTTTACATACTCAAAAATATAAAATAAAAGATAATTTAAAAAGAAAACATTCCCCTTAATGGGATATATTCCAACGACTAAAAGGACTGCAAAGAAGTCTTGAATATTCTAGACAGTTTGGTAGTAACCTTGGTATAACTCTGAAACTATTTCTGTGTGTAACATATGATAGAACTAATAAGTAAATATACCGATTATGGTGAAAAACAGCTTATTCAGTGTATGGGAAAGAAGGCACAAAATACAAATACAATATTGAAATATACAAATGAAAAAGTCTTCTGGTATTGGATTTGAATTAAGAGTTATGAGTAAGAACTCATGACTTTAAAAAACAAACAAACAAACAAAAAAACCCAAAACTGCTGGACACAGTGGCGCATGCCTGTAATCCCAACAGTTTGGGAGACTGAGGCAGGAGGACTGCAAGTGAGGAAACTTAGTGAGGACCTAAACAACATAGTGAGAACCTGTCTCTAAATAAAAAATATAAAAAAGGGGCTGGGGATATGGCTTACTGGTTAAGCAGCCCTGGGCTCAATCCCTGGTAACAAAAACAAACAAAAACTATACGGCTGTGGGTATAGCTCAGTTGGTAAGGCCCTGGGTTCAATCCCCAGCAACACATACACCCCCCCCACACACACACAGAAAACCAACAACTATATATAAAGTGGATATAGGAATATGTAAAAATGAATCCCATTGTTATGCATAACTATAATGTACCAATAAAAAATAAGGAATAAAAGAGTCGAAAAAATGTGGAAAAAAAAAACCCAAAACTTCTGACAACATGGATGACCCTTTGAAGACATTATGTTAAGTGAAATAAGACAGTAAAAAAAAAAAATCAAATATTGTATGATTTCACTTATATGCTATATCTAGAATCATCAAATTTATAGAAACAATGTAGAATGATGGTTACCAGAGAGTAAAGGAAGGAGAAATGAGGAGTTGTTATTTAATAAGTACAGACTTTCAGTTTTATAAGATGAAAACATTGTGGAGATTAGTTGTACAACAATGTAAATATATTAAACACTACTGAACTTGAAAACGGTGAAGATGGGGGCGGGGGCTGGGACTCAGGGGGTGAGCGCCTGCCTAGCACGTGTGAGGTCCTGGGTTCCACCCTCAGCACCAGATAAATAAATAAAAGTATTGTGTCCACCCTAAACTATATATATATATATATATTTTTTTTTTTTCTTTTTCCCATTGGAGAAAATCCAGGTCTAAGGTAAGTAAAAGGGGAGGAGTATCTATTATACCAGAAATCAAGAAAATGCTCTAAGACTAATAGTTGTGTCAGAGAGATGGTGGCCTTGGTTTGACTGACTCACGTGGCCTAAATGTGGGACAGCTGGGTATTAAAACCAAAACAACAAAATAACTGGAATGAGTAAATTAACAACACTTCGAATCTTTAAAAATTCTCTTGGTCCATGTGTGTGGCTCAGACACATAAAAAAATGGGAGGGAGGAAGACCTATTCTTTTTTTTTCTGCATTTCCTTCCTGCTCGAATAGAAACGTTATATTCCAAATCAGTTTTCCACCACAGATTCCTCCGCCAGAAGCCATAGTCCCTGCGTTTTCACTTCTGGTCCACCATTTTGCTGCCTTAATTTCTCCACCGGGAGGGTAAGGGCCCTCGAATATGCATACGTGAAACGGCCAAAAAGTAGCTGGGGCTGGAGTTGTGGATCAGTGGCCAAGTACTTGCCTCATTGGGTTCGATCTTGAGCACCACATAAAAATAAATGAAATAAAGATATTGTGTCCATGTATAATTAAAAAAAAAAGAGTAACTGTTGCTGTTAGGGATCTTAACTTCATAAGGAAATGGGACCAAATTGGCGGGCTTGGTGAAAGTGGAGCCCACCAGGAGGTAGGAGGCAAAGAGACACGCAGAGAGGGTGACAAAGCTGGAGAGGAAGGAGCCTTAAGAGGCCGCCCGCTTCACAGCACGACCCCAGAGTGCTGGTGTGCAAGGAGAGGCGCCCCCCAGCGAAGCGGAAGACCTGTTCTTTTCTTTCTTTCTTTCTTTTAAATATCTTTTTATTTTTTATTTTTATGTGGGGTTGAGGATCGAACCCAGGGTCCCGCGCAAGCCAGGCGAGTGCGCTACCGCCCCCGGAAGACCTGCTCTTTACTGGAGGATGCTATTAATCATTTAAAAGAGATTATGAATCAAGAAAAAAAAATCACAGTTTTGCAACCAGCAATGCAACAAGGCAAGGAGCATCAATGGATATTAAAAACCTTAAGTGAAAGGCTGTTAAGGAATAGAACATTTATTTGCCCTCAAAGTATCATTCCATAGACTACTTATTTATTAGAGGAAAAAAATATGCACCTTTAAAATGATGTGACTTGTAGACACCACCTTAAACAAACTGAGCATCATCAATGAGGAGACAAACTAGGAAATGAGCCTCTTGAGGAAGTGCATGAAAAGCAACATCACCTTTGAAATATTTTTGACAAAATGTTTAATCTGAATTTCATTAAGAGGAAAAAAATCAGGCAAATCTTAAAGAAAAAAAAAATTTTCAGCTATTTATTGTCCAGCATAAAATTCAATATGCTCCTCCTGAACAGGACTGACTGTGTACAGACCAAATGTAATTCCCATATTGGAAGAACCATGGATGGTGATAGAAATTTTAGAAGGCCCATCCTTCAGGGACAATGTGGGCATTCTAACAGTAAAAACAAACAAACAAACAAACAAAAAAACCCCCACAAAACAACCACAGAAAAACTGGCTTGGATCCTTTAAAAAGGTCAATAATCTTGAAAGATTAAGTGGTGCATGTTTGTAATCCCAGTGGCTTGGGAGGTTGAGGCAGGTGGATCACAAATTCAAAGGCAGCCTCAACAGCTGAGTGAGGACCTAAGCAACTTAGCAAGACCCTGTCTCAAAATAAAACATAAAAAAGATCTGGGATGTGGCTCGGTGTTTAAGCACTTCTGGGTTCAATCCCTGGTACAGGGAAAAAAAAAAAAAAGAAAGGAAAAAAGGTTGAAGAACACGTCTATGTTACAAGGGACTTGGGGCTGGGGATAGGGTTCAAGTGGTATCGTGCTAACCTGGGATGTGCAGGGCACTGGGTTTGATCCTCAGCACCACATTTAAATAAATAAGTAAAATAAAGATGTTGTGTCCACCGAAAACTAAAAAATAAATATTAAAAATTCTCTCTCTTTTTTTTTAAAAAAGGGACTAATGAGGGCTGGAGTGGTGAGTCAGTGGTAGAGCACTTGTCTGTCATGTGGGAGGCACAGGGTTCTATTCTCAGCACTGCATATGAATACAGATCCATTGACAACTAAAAAAAAAGGGGGGAGGGGACTAATGGTGTGAGATAAATAAATGGAACATAAGATTTCTGACTGGATCCTAGACTGGGGAGGAAAATATCTATAAAGGATATTTGAGGAAATCTGAATATTTGGCCATGTATATCAATAACTATTGTATAAATGTTAAATATCTAGAGAGAGAATGGTGGTGTGCTTATATAGAAGAATGTTCATGCTTTTAGGAGATATTCAGGGGTAAGATGTTATGATTAAATTTCAAATGGTTCAGTGCAAAAACAAAGGTGTGTGTAAAATGTCTAAATGATAATTAGTGATTTCAGGTAAAAATTATATAGTTGTAACTTTTCTTTAGTTTGAAATCTTAAATAAAATTATGGAGGAGAAAAGAATGAACGGTAACAATCAAAAAGGCCATCAATGGGGACAAGTTCAATAAATTATAAGACAACCAATAAAATATGATGCAGATATTAAAAAAGAAATGAAAAAGCTCTTCACATGCTCATTTGGAACATTTTTCAAGATATATTTTCAGGTAAAATATGCTAAGAACAAAACAATATGCATAGTATGCTACTGTTTATGTTGCAAAATGGAGGAAAAAATTTTCTATTAACTTTATGTGCAAAAAACCCAGTCACCCATCCAACCCCAAATAGATATCTGAAACAACTGTTTACCTATAACACAGAGCCAGATTTTATTTAAAAATAAAAAATTACTAAAATTATGTTAAAATCCAGGTTTTATTGTGGAGATGAACAGTTGTTCAAGACTTACCTGGAGGGAAGCCTCTATAGGAAAACAGTGGTTAATAGTCAAGATCTAATAAGAGTGGTCGAAGCTGGACAATGTAGCAACTGGGTGAGTATGGTATGTAGGTGGGAGACTTTTGTCTCTATATATGGCTTTATATATTTAAAAAAATTTTAATTTTGTGAATATATAAGTTTTAAAGTAATTTGGAAATAAAAAAGAAGGAAATTAAGAGAGTGGAGACGGGAGATATAGGGGTTTGTTAGTTAACAGAAAAAAAGAAACTCAAATGTAAGTTTTGAAAATGGAGCAATGGGAAAGTCCCAGAGAAGCTCTAAAAGATGGTACTTAGGGGTCACATAGGATAAAATGAGAAGGGACACAGGGGAAAGGTAGCAAAATAATATTTGAAAACTCTCTTCCTTTTTTACTTTCTTCTGTAAAAAGCAATACCAAAACAGCTCAGAATTCTTTACCAGCTGCTAAGACTTTGCAAAGAATGATTTGGCCATATTTGATAAATAATTTCAAAACATTTTGGATATAGACTATTAAGTGCAAAGAAGCCCATGTGCTGGCTTTTCTCTTACCTGGACTAGGGCCTTCTAAAATTTCTTTTATCACCATCCATGGTTCTTCCAATATGGGAATCACAGTTGGTCTGTAGACAGTCAGTCCTGTTCAGGAGGAGCATAATGAATTTTATCCTGGACAATAAACAGCTGTAAAAAATGTATTACCTGACTTCTACTAAAACTTCTATAGGAAAATAACAGTTCAGGGACATGATTTAATAAGATACTTAGGTCTCATTGTTTTCAGAGCAAGGATTAAAAATTTCCTGCTACCCAAGAGAATGTATGTCTGGAGATCCTACGGAAGAATTCTTTCCTTTGAGCAGTAGAGAATGGGCAAGACAGTGTTGAGTAGCCGTCAAGTGGCAGCACTATGAAATTGTGCATTAAAACTTTCATTAGTTATCTTTTATTTGGGAAAAGGAAGAACACAGTCTTTCTGTGCCTGAATGAGATGAAACACTCATCTCTAGACCTTATTTTTAGTCAAGTACTTCAGAGTCTTCTTAACGACTAGGGGCAGAAACATACCCCGGGGGGAACACTGGGAGGAGAGGTGTGGACAATCCTTACCTAGAGAAACCATGTTCCAATAGTTTTGTAATGTCACCGTCTTGTACAATTCCTTCTGTACAGGACGCATTAGCTCCCAGTCCTCTTGGGTGATGTCTACAGCCACATCTTTGAATGTCATTGATTCCTAAAATATCAAATACAACTTAACTTGGCTCAAGAACTAATGGAAAGACTGGGTATGCATGTGGTGGAGGGAATAGGGGATCAAGAATAATAAATTTTAGGACTCTAAAAGTTTGTTTAGTCAAAACCTTCACCTAATGTATAGACCACAGCATCCTTCAAGGGCCCTAATGAGAAGTTTAAAAATAAAGGAAAATTTCTTGTTTTCAATTAGTACTAGAGTACACACTGATGGTTTTTGTTTTAAAGAAAAAGGGTAGGCCAAGGGATATAGTCGGTGGTGCAGACAGCACTTGCCTAGCATGCTCAAGTCCCTGGGGTTTGATCCCCAGTACCACTCACACTCACTGTCCCCCACCCCACCCCCCAAAAAAGAGGAAGAAAAATGAGGAGAAAGAGGTTTTGAATTTTAAACAGATATGACACAGAGTTAAATGATTTTCAAGTTTTATCCTAAGAATAAATTCAACAGGTTATAATAAACATGTTGGTTGTGGATTGTGGGGTTGTGGCTCAGTGGTAGAGTGCTTGCCTAGCATGCATGAGGCACTGGGTTCGATCCTTGGTACCATATGAAAATAAAAAAAAAATAAAATAAAGGTCATCTACAACTAAAAAATAAAAAAACACATTTATATGTTCTATAATATAAATGTAATGTTCTTTTAAAAAATAAAACTGAAACCAACAACCACACTGTTGAATCACTGCACTTTTAGTTTGGGAAGGTTAGTATCCCTTTTTGCTCCCTTCTTAAAAAAATTTTTGTTAAAAATATTTCTTGATTACTGTTACTTATTATTTTTTTTTCAAATAATTATCACACACTAAAAAATCACTTTGAGATATTAAAGTCACATTAAATTTATAATTGAGAAAGAAGTGATTATAGTTTCTTTTATGTCTTATAAGATGCATATAATAAGAAAGATGCAAAATTTATACTATGCTTAGTTTTAGATTTTTTAAAATTTTGTCATCTGGTTTTTATGTGTATGTAAAAGAGGGATACATTTTTGCATGTTACTTTCTGTGGCAGTCATTTGACTCAAATTTTCAACTACTGTTTCTAACAGTTTTTCCCTTCATTTTCTTAGTTCTCTAGGTAAATGTTCACATCATATATAAATAATCATTTTAATTTGATTGTCCAAGGTTTTTTAATTATAGGCCATGTATATTTTCCCAATAAGTCTTTCTCTTAAGGTGGCCTAACTTGCTATTCCTTAGTGTAATACCTCTCATGATCAAGATCACAGAATGCACACAGCCTTTAATTACTTGTTAATGAGGAAAAATAATATTAGCAAATATTATTTATTAATCACTTAATAAATGGTAGTAAAGGGTAGCCAAAAGTCTCATAATATTTTATTCTTACAATCTTAAGAGGTAAATTCTACATATTGAAAATGAGTAACTTAGACTAAGTGGGTAAATATCTTATTCCAAAATCATGAATTCAATGGCAGAGCCAGGAACCAAAACCTGGATTCCACCTGACCATGTAGGTTAATCTCTTAACCTCTATACGGTATTACTAACTTAAAAGTCAAGGAGTGAGGAAAGGCATATTAAGGGAAATCGAGCACATTTACTGAACAGTTCAAGGTAATGAAGGAGAGAACCTCAGGTTTAGGTCCTAGTAGTTAGGGCTTTTGAGGGTTCACCAGCTATCGAGTAGGATTCACAACAAAAAAATGCTCTCTCATACTAAGAAGGCACTTTAAAATCACCAAAGAAACTTAAACTCACTTTGGTTACCAAGTCATTGAGCCACCCTGCCTGGAAAGCATGCCTTCCTCTGGGATCTTCCTCTTGAATCACCTGGGAAAGAGCAGTGTTCTGAGGAACTATGGAAGAGAAAGAAACCATTATGGATATTAGCCCTGTTCAAATAGCCTAGGAAATCCTTCACCAAATACATGCCTACACTATTCTCTCTCTTTTAATGGGACTCTCTTTTAACCCAGGGATTCACACATGCTAGGCAAGAACTCTGCCACTGAGCTCCATGCCAGCCTTAATAAAGTTTTATTTTGAGAGTCTTGCTAAATTGCAGAGGCTGGCCTTAAACTTATGATCCTCTTGCTTCAAACTCTGGAGTAGCTGGGATCACAGGTATGGGTCAGTGTGCCTGGCTAGAGGCTTAGACTTTTCTTTTTAAAAGAATTTTATTTATTTTTATGTGATGCTGAGGATTGAACTCAGTGCCTCACATGTGCAAGGCAAGTGCTCCACTACTGAGGTACAACCCCAGCTCTAGACTTTTCTTAAAATGAGAAGTGAACAGAAAGCTGAAAAAGCACTCATACTTCAAAGTCAGAGGGAAGGGCCAATCACTTGTCCTAAGACATCAATGCAGAGTTCAAAAACAAGTCTGCTCTCGGACTGTTAAGTGTATGTAGAAAATTCAGTATTTTCTACTAAATCCTTATTTGATCTAAAATGTGTGAATTGTCTCTTTCTTAAGATGAGAATATTCTTTGGAATTTCTATCTTTCTGGAAATCACAGTGCAAGTGATTTATTAGTACAGTGGTATAAACCTCTTCGAGTTACCTTTCTGGGGATTCACAGAGGTTAATTTGGTTGTGTCAAGTGAATCTCTCCCGAAACTTTTCCTCTGGCTTTAGATATTGTGTGTTTGGTTTAAGCAATCTTGAGGGGGAACACTATGTAGGATGGAGCTCATGTTAAAGCCTGTTCTCACTCCTTAACTCAATTATCTTTTTTCTCTCCAATTTCTTTAAAGGAGCTATTCTCAGAAGTACTAATTGTCTTCTCTAACCACCCAGGGATTCCTCCCCTCTCTGCTCTACAATTCTCACCTTCCTCTTCTAGAATCTGAGTCAAATCCTCTACCAGAGTCACCACTTCCTCGCTGCTCTCTGGATACTGGGACTTTACCCAAGTCCTAACCTCCCCAGGCAGGATGGTTAGGAACTGCTCCAGCACCAGTAGCTCCAAGATTTGTTCCTTTGAGTGAATCTCAGGCCTCAACCACTTAAGGCAGAGCTCTCGGAGTTGACTCAATGCCTTTCGAGGACCAGCCAGGTCTGGGTACAGAAAATTCCTAAAATTCTGCCGACAGGTCTCAGTGTCACGCAAGAGTCTTGAAGTAAGGGTTTTCTTCTCAACATTGTGGGTTCCACTTTGAACTTTGTCTGGCTTCCACATTAGAAGGATTTGTGAGCGTGAAGAACTGGTCATCCTCTTTCTTGAGGCTAACATATCTATAGACAGGACAGTCAATCTGGCAATATCCTTTATTTCTCCAGTAATTAGCCAACTGCTTGAAGTCTTATGCTACAGCCATAAAACCATTTTTATCAAGAGCTGCTGCAGCTAGGGGCAGAACAGAATATAGGTAGAGTTAGTGGCCTTAGTTACAAAATCTGAGCCCAGAACTTGCAGGGATGAATGAGACCCTGAAACACAAGAATGGACCACAAGGTCAAGAATTTCTGGTGTACTCTGCCACACACACACACACACACACACACACACACACATACACTCCTCTGTATGCACAAATAAGTTTATTTGAGTTTACTTCCGTCTTCTTCCCTTTTATTCTTGGACTTGTAATAGAACTTCATTGTGTTTAGGGGTGGTGGGAAGGATGGAGCTACCACAAAATGGTGTTAGAAGCTATAATTTAAAGAATCCTGAGCAAGATGACTAACTTCTAATTTGTTGAAACAAAAATTAAATATTTTTTTTTTTAACAGAAAAAGATGTTTGAGATTTTAGTCACTGATGTAACAGAAGCTGTAATGACTTAACTGGTCCTCAGGAATACAGCAAACCTACCGTTACTGGGAATAAACTGGGAAGAAAATTTCTTCTTAATAAAGTGCTCAGGGTTCCCAAGGGAACTCTCAGAGGAAAATGGCAAGCCATTTATCTGATTTGCATGTTAATGCCAGACTATTCTAGTTTTTCACTATCAGAGGCCTGAAAAAACAAGCCCTTGGACTGGGAAGCGTGGAAGATTGTTGTGATTGGAAAACATTTCAGTGCTTCAGGAGGAAACAGTTCCTTAAGGACACTTTCGGGACCAGGATTCCAGAAGAGAACCTCCGAAGTGGCCTGATCTGCAGGAGAACCCACACCCACCTGTCCCCTTGCTCCAGCCCTCAGATCTACTCAACCCCAGTCGTGACACCAAAGAGAACTGTTTACAAGGCTCTTGCGAAGATGCAATGGCCTCGCCTGGACTGCCTCCCCTTCCCAGCCGGTCCCTTTTACACCCTTTCAGAGGAAAGCAGAGGGCAGCGGGGGGGACAGCCTGCACCCCAGCGACTTGCAACGATGGGTACGCGCGTCCCCAGGCTCCCCACCCCCAGCTTCCACTCCCTGTGCTTTCCCTGCAGGGAGCGAGCACGGCGCCCTGAGCGTCGACGGGCTCGGGGGTCTGGCCTTGATCGCACGGACCCTCGTGCCCGGGACATCGTTACCTGTCGCTGGGACCCCGTCACTCGGCAACCAGAACGGCCCGAGAGGCCACAGGCAACAATGGCGGCGGCGTCACGGGCGCCTGCGTGGCGGGCTCTGTTCCGCGCTGCAGAGGGACCTCTGGCTCTGCCACTTCTTTTCTCGGGAAGGATTATGCGACTCCAGAAGAAGGCGCACGTTCCAACCCGGTGCTGAGAAACCCGGCCTGAAACCCCCTCGCCTCGGCTTCGCCGCGACCTCGCCTCTGCGCCACTGCGCATGTGCGCCAGGAGAACGCTGCGCGCTCGCAGAGCCAATCGGAACCAGAGCTCTGGCCTTCACTTCCCGGGGCCCTGGACCTGTCTCCATGGCAACCTCCTCCACCCATCCTCCGGACTGGCTCGTCAGCCTGCAAGGTTTTGAAGGGAATTCTCAAGTTTGTCTGGGTAGAGACAGGTCTGATAGAGAACTTGGAGGTCGGAGAGTTACCAGTGGCTGGTAGAATGCTTGGAGGTGGATGCCCCGCGCCAACTACCCAGAGAAAATAGCATGCCAGTGTTCCTAGGGAAGGAAGGGCAGGCAAGATTGGGTCTAAAAAGAGCAAAACCCTGAAGTGGTGTTTCAGGATGTACTGGGCATAGACACTTAAGGGTTCAGAGTATCTTCTCAGGAATTTGATAGAACAACATATTCCAGGGGTTCCTGATATCTACTGCTCTGTTAACCACTCCAAAAGGTAGTAGTTTAAAAAAACAACCACTTAATTATGCTCTTCGACGGTGAGGGTCAGGAATTTGGAAGGGGAATGGTCTGGGTGGATATTCTCTATCTCACTGTGTCTAGCTTCTGTTGAGATGACTTGATGCTGGAGATGTTCCCTTTCCACATGTTTTTTTCATCTACATGTTTGGTACATGGGGTACCAAGTAGATGGCTTAAGGATGAGCTCATCTTGGATTTAATCTGAGTGCTTAAGTGTGTTCTCTTCAACACAATAGACTCAGGTAGGTGGGTTTATTACCTGGGGGGCTCTGGGTTGGAGTGTTCAAGTGAACAAGAAAGAATACCTGTGTCTAAGTATGACATACTTTAGAAGCCACCTAGACCAATTATGCTATATTCTTGGTCAAAGCACTCACAAGCCTGCATAAAATCAAGTAGAGGCAGATGTAGACATCATGGGGGGGGGTGCCAAAGAGAATATCACCACATTAAGGAAATATTAATAAAAAGAAAGTTGGGAAGTGTGGTGGTTTTTGATGAGTCTACTTGGCTAGGCTATAGGTCCCTGCTATTCAAGTAAACACTAATCTAGGTGTTGCTATATAGGTCTTTTGTAGATGTGATTAAAGTCCAAAAACTCAAGTTGAACTAAGTGTGGGAGTCAATCATAGATAATTTGAATGGGCATGATCCAATCAGTTAAAAGGTCATAATGGCAGAACCGATCAAGGCTCCCCTGATGAAAAACTTCCACCTATATACCTTCTCTTTCAGCCTGCTCTTCCTGATAGGCCACCTTTGAACTTGTTTAGTCATCCCCCTCAATTGAGTAAATAAATTTCTTGAAATAAATCTCTTATATAGCTTACTGGTTCTGTTTCTCTTGTTGAGTCCTGACTGATACAAATAACAATCCTAATATCTGGTAAAATAGAATCTAAGAACCCAAGGGAATGAATGTTTTACATTTATAAAAATAAATATCGACAGAGAAGATATGCTCACCATATGTATTTATACCTAACAAAAAGGCCTCAATATACACCAAATGATAACTGATATAATTGCATGGAGAAAATATAAATAACTACTGAAGCTAGAAATTTTAATATGCCCTCTAGTGCACACTCTGATGTGTCATCAGGATCTTCCTTTGGGTTGATGCATTCAATTTCCTAGTTGCCAGTGTGTTTGACAGCTGATAGTTTGCCCCTAAATAAATCCTTGGAAGTTATACTGGCTGATTAGAATTGCCTCTTACATGTTGTATCTCCTCCCCAAGGACGGTCAATATCCAAAGACTGTTCAATACAAATGTTCAAAGATCTGGTCCCCTTGCCTCAATTTTTAAACTCTTATCTAAAAGTCCACCCTGGCTTAAAAGTTCTTCTAGGGACCCAAGGAGTCCTCTGTTGGAATCACACAGCATTTCAGCTAATTCCCATGCCCAGTCCTTTTTACATTTTTCTATAGAACACTAACCAATAATGCCCCTGCCTGCAATTTTTCATTTCAGAACTCATTTCTTGGGGCTGGGGTTGTGGCTCAGTGGTAGAGTGCTTGCCTAGCATGCACGAGGCACTGGGTTCGATCCTCAGCACCACAAAAATGTAAAATAAAGATATTGTGTCCACCTAAAACTAAAAAAAAATAAATTAAAAAAAGAACTCATTTCTTGAGGATTTGCCTTATGCCAGTTGGTATCATCAGTGATTCTAGGAAAGGAAACTCTTAAAATGGGATTCAAACTGTATTACCTGCCTGTATGCTGGCAGTGAGGACCCTATCACTTGTGATTGATGGAATACTGATAGTAATGTCAGGTTTCAGTAGTGTAATTGTTATTGATGAAAAGGAATGTGCTGATGGATTTTATATCTCAGGCTTTGAGGTAGAGGGAAGTAATAATTCTAAGGACTATTGAATTAAGGAGTGTATTAGTCCTGTTTTATTGCTATAATGAAATGCCTTAGGCAAGATACTTTATAAAGAACACAGGTTTATTTAGTTCTCAGTTTGGGAAGCTGGAAGTCCAAATAGTATGATATATGTTCTAGCTAGAGTCTCCTTTAGCTACATAACATAATATCAGGAATGCATGTATATATCTATGTCTGTGTGGTCTCTTTCACTCTCCTTATAAAGCCATCAGAATTCAATCATGGCCCCCATGACCTAGACTAATCTAATCACTCCCCAAAAGCTCTGCATTTTTAAAGCTTTTTTAAAAAAGTTATCTTTATTTATTTTCATGAGATGCCGAGGATCGAACCCAGTGCCTCACACATGCGAGGCAGGCTCTCTACCACTGAGCTCCAGCCCAAAAAGCTCTGCATTTAAACACCATAATTAGACTACTAAGTTTCTACCATTTTAATGCCATCAACACATATTTGGGGGACTAAACTTCTATATAAGTATAGGGTGACAAATCATACCCAAACCATAGCAAATGGCTTAGTAGGAGCTATTGACAAGGAAAGGCTGATGGTGATTAATGACCAATTTAGGGAAAGTGTCAGAATTAGAGGGTTTTTGAAAGTGTCAGAATTAGAGGGTTTTTGGTGGTAAAAATGCTGAGAATCAGGTACTAGGACTGTATTAGGATTGCATTAACTTCAGCAAAGCTTGAATTCTCAACTGCAGCAAGTTTGCTTTGTCAAAGTCAGGACCCTGCTGGGAAAGGAGTAGAACTGTGAGATTGGGAATGAGAATATTTTGATATATGCATGGAAACAACCTTTATTTATTTATTTAGCAGTACTTATAATTGAACCCAGGGATTCTCTACCACCGAGATATGTTGGAGCACTTTTTATTTTTATTTTTTAAATTTTGAGACAGGGTTTTGCTAAGTTGCCAAGGCTGGTCTTGGACTTGTGATCCTCCTGCTTCAGCTTCCAAAGTTACTGAGATTAGAAGCATGTGCCACCATACCTGTCTAAAAATGCCTTTAAATACCAATCCTTCCCAATTCTCTGTGCCTGAATAAATGGTCCACTCCTCCAGGTCCAAAGTTACTTCTCTGTCTTGTTTGAAAATTATGCACATAGAGACCTCTATGTTGCAATAAAACTTGTGCTTCTATAAAGATCTCCATTTTCTCTCTATCTGACCACTATATAAATAAATAGAGTCAAGTAACCACAAAACTCAACAGGTGAAATTCTGGACCTGATCAGGGAGGAAAACAACCTATTTCCTGGTGTTGCTGAGGACCTGAGCCTATATGTATTTGTAGAAGCCAGGGCAGTATGTATGAAACTGGATCCTGAGGATTCTGGATCAAAGAGGTAGAACCTATAACCAAATACTGGAGAATTTATTTTAAAAAGTAGCATATTCCCATAATATGGAATTTAAACACTCTAACAAGGATGTCAGGGGGTAAAATTTTTGAGAATTAGAGAAATAGATGGCTCACACTAAGCAAAAATAACGAGTTTTGCTTTACAAAAGTTAAACTGGGCATACTAGAGTAGGCAGTGTATGGAATTTTGGAAAACTTATCAGCTGATTGTGTTTCATTAGAATGCCTGGAGGATAATTCATTGACATAAAAAATGTGCTTTTTAGAGGGGCACCAGCATCACTGAGAAGCTCAATGGTGTCTTTCCTCTGTAGGCTGAGGCTGATGGTAGGAGATTCGTTACAGAGCTGGGCTTCTTGAGGATGGCATTTGAATTTCAGAAAAAAGTAAACTCATTGTGGCAAGTATAATGAGAAATAAGATTGAAGTGAAAATCAGGGAGAGAAAGTATGAAGGGGTGCTCTATCTTTAGTGAGCTATGAAGAAGATTAACAGAATGTGGTGTCTCTATGGGAAAGACCTTTGGGCAACAATACGGATAATGATCAGTTCATACAATCAAATCAAATCAAAGGATGAATGATCAAGAGACTGAGGCTAATAAAATGTAACAATCTCTAACCCAATTTTTCCAGATCCTACTCAGTTTTCAGCCTCAAATCCTATTGACTGAAAAGCCATATCACCAGAAGGCCTCACCACATCTAGTATGTGTAGTAATGAGTTTCCTAGCCCTCTCATCCCCCAAAGACTTACGTCCATTTAGTCATGTGCACTTAAAAAGTTACCCAGAAGTTTCAGGGCTTTTGAGTACAGGGTCTGGGTTGACATCGATAATTAGGGACCTGAAGCAACATGGAGACCTGTATGTTAGAATGGAGGAATATGAGATCCAGGTAATGAATGGAAGTCTGTCTCTTGAAAGATCCACAGAATTCAGTTCCATCCATTAGTAATTTCCCAAGATCTTGAATGTATAGTAGGAATGTGTGAATTTTAATTGACAAGCAAAATTGGTTCCTTGGTCTTCTAAAAATGAGGAAGGCCAAGTGGAATACTCTGAAACTACTTTCCTACCCCATCCTTGTTCAAGACATAAGTTAAAAAAAAAAGCATCGAATCCCAGAGGGAATGGCGGGGATTCATGCCTCTCTTAATGATCTAAACAGGTGCAGGATGGTGTTACTTATTGTATCCCTATTGGGTTCAGCGATCAGGCTCTTTCAAAACCTAGATGACTTCTCTAGGATGACTGT